CATCCGCCTCGTCTCACCACCAGTGTCAGTAGACCAGAGAATGCGAAAAGGCGACAATGCCAAATATCAGAGCACTCAAGTCCAGTCCGGCGCTGCCACCAACCTGGTGTCGAACTCGGACACTGCCTCCCCCATCCACGTCATAAGGGAGCCGGCTCCCTTGCCTATAAACATCTGATAGCCCTGACTCTGCTGCTGCTGAGACACTGAATATCGAAACCCGGTCCTTGAATTTCAACAACTGGGGCAGTTCACCAGCATAAGTTGAAGCAAATTGCCGGACTGCTGGTACTGCTGATGAGACACTGAATATCGAAACCCGGCCCTTGCCTTTAAACATCTGGGGCAGTTCAGCATTGATTCCAGCAAATTGCCTGACTCTGCTACTGATGAAACTAAACTACTCAACTAGTTTTTTACGTGTACCAGGTGTAAGGCCCCACTGAGTAACTGTGTGGCTCTTTTTATTACACGTTTTTTTTTATTAACTCACTGTCTGTTGTTGTATCGTCAAATCTTGTAACTCAATTTTTACCCACTTCCCAATGTCGTATCGACTGCAAACTTGGTATACTTATGTCATACTGATGACAATATTATATTCTATCATAAAAATAAAAAAAAGTATTTTTAAACATTCATTTTTATATTGTATGTTTCGGCTTGGGTCTAATTGTCCACGCTCAACTGACGTTGGGTGTAAATCACCACGGTCCCTTACGTTATGGCAAGCTTTGCGGCCACTTCCTGGAGTCGTGGAGTTCTGCCATTACTAGTACGTTAATTTTCATTAAAGCGTGTTTTAAAAAAAGTTCTTTTAATATTACTTATTCTGATGCGACCTCGCCATCACAAGTGATGGCAGCTCAACCACCTAGCTGTTATCACCATCATCACGTGGAAATGTATAGCAGCAGCCGAGTGACTCTAAACGCATGGTGATGTCGATTCTAAATGTGGAGGGAACCAAACGGGAGGACCCGGAGAAAATTCCACACAGTGACCACCACAGGGGAAAGATGCAGACTCCAAATATACAGCAGCAGCCGACATGGTCAGGGTCAGGGTCGGGATGGAACCCACGACCTCCTGTAAACCAGGCGAGGGAGTTAACATCCCATCAGAGGGAGAGAGAGACATAGACTCTATAATCTAGATATACATCAGCAGCAGCAGGCATAGTCAGGGTTGGGAACGAACCCACGACCTCCTGTATCCCAGGCGAGGTGGTTAACAACTCCATAGGCACCATGGCGCCCACATCTGGTTCAAGCCAATTGTCTGACTATGCTACTGCTGATGAAACTAAACTAGAAACTAAACTAGAAACTAGTTTTACTTATTTTACTTTATCAGGTTAAGGCCCCACTGAGCTGTTATAAAAAAAAAAACGTTCAGCTCACGACCTAACCACAAAGGGTAGTCTAATTAATATCTTATAATATGAATATTCTAAATTTATATTCTTTGTTTCTTTCGGTAGTCACATAGGTATAAAATAAAATAAATCACGACGTTTCGGGCGCAACACAAGCGTCCGTCATCAGCAAACCTTCCGGCTACTATCAAAGGTTTGTTCATAAAGCCATCCAGATATATAAACATAGACATAACTTCAACCGAGAAGATGGATACAAATTGAGCAATCATTGGAAGGATGTTATTAACCAGGTAAAACCGTAACTGCTCTATAGTTTGCCTTCATATCCGCATCCCCAGTTTTCTGCAGCCTCCTACTCTCAGCCCCGGCATTTTGCCATGCTTGCAGCACCCCATTCCTCCTACCCCACACCCCCCTCTCTATCTCTCCTCCCTGGCTCCGCCCCCCTCTCTTACCTATGTAATAACAGCCATAGAGGGTTCACGTGGAGATTGGCTTGCCGGTCCTGCTTTGTAGCCAATAAGGGTTGAGATAGGGAGCGTGGGCCCGGCGTGATCACGGCATGTCATCATTTGTGATTGGCCTAGCCATTCGGGGCCCCAGCTAATGGGGATCCGGATGAGAGGCGTGGTCCCGGGAGTGACAGGGAACCATCGAGAATGGTCGAGGCTGTCCATGGAGGATTGGCTGGGGGGACCATGTGACGAAGGGATTAAGAGAGAGTGAGAGAGAACGATCGAGAGCAGACTGGGAAACGAACAGAGGGAGAGCCACGCGCGTACGGGGCTCTGGGTGCCACGTGCGCGGTGGGAACTGGTGTGAAGTCTGCCCGCTCTCTGTTGTCTGCCAACAACGGAGCGTGAGTGAATAAAGTGTATCGTGGAGGTGAAAACAAAGAGGACCGATTCCGAAGCCGTCTCCGAAGGATTATTACACCTATATAGCCTCTTGATACAAGCACCTCTTTTGCCCACTTCAGCAATTGTTTCTTGCTGTGGTTGTCCCACCTGATGACGGACGCTTGTGCTGCGCCCGAAACGTCGTGATTTAATTAATTTTATGTGTTCTGCCTCATGGCAGGAATTTTGCCTTACGGCAGATGGGGGGGGGGGGGGGGGGGGGCGTATGTACACAGGAATTTCCTGTTTTTTATGCTAATTTTGGTCACGTGACCAGGAAGTTGCTATTTAATATTCCCGCTCAACCACGCGGGCGTCGGCCATTACACACGTAATTCAAGATGGCGGCACACATCGCGTCCCAGTGAAGCCAGCCGCAATTGTCCATTGTGGGACCTTAAGAAGCATTATCTGTAAGTTCGTTTATGTTCTTATAATATTGGCAATGCTGTTATGTTATAATGATCGTTATAATGATGTAAATGCCTTTATAATGCTGTTAAATTGTTATGATAAATACGAGGCCTAGTTAACAACGAAGCCTGCTACTTTCCTTATTGTGAATGTTACTTGTAATTTAATAAGTCGAGTCAAACTTGTACCCAAGTAACTATATTGTTATCCTGAGAGCAAGGATGACGAAATATCTCATCCACAATTTAGTGTTTTGTGTAATACTGTACATTTGGGGTGCAGTGTGATGAATACACGATGTGCCTTTATGTAACACAGCAGCTTATGCTCTTGTATAGTTATTCAGTGGTAATGTAGGGGCCTGGTCCATCCAGGGTCTATTGTTGAGAAACATGTTATCTAAGACAATGTTCCAATGCTGTGGTGTTCATTCATTGTGTTGGTGTTTCCAGGTTATAACAGATGCTGTATTTGTGCTGTTTTCTCACCAGTTTTACCTCGTTAAAATCAATAAATGACGTTTGGAGTCGGATGTTCACCCTGGCTCTGAGGGTTTATTGGACGCGAGGTTATCTACTCAGCTAGCGGTGCAACGCAGCGCACAGTGAGGCCGAGACATTATGCCTACGTGACTTTACCGAAAGAACCAAATAGTGTAGATCCCTGCAGTCACGAAAACTTCAAATCTAGATTCTAAATTGATATTAATATCCTAAAACAATATTAATATCCTCTAGTGGGCATTAATATCCTATATTCATATTAATATCCTATATTCCTATGATACTATCCTATATTAATATCCTATTTTATTAATATCCGATAGTAGTAATCATATTATTATTTATGTCTTATGTTAAGAATTAAGAGGAATCGTTAGAATTCGCTCCTTTGAATCCAAACCGAGGAATCGATTCGATATTTCGCGGCAGGAATCTAAAAGTTAGAATCGGTCGATTGATTCCAACATAACGGGAGGAATCGATTTCGATAGATATACGGGAGTTAAAGAGTCCCGAATCGCTACCATTAACTTTATAGTGGAATCGATTTCTCGATTTATTTTTGAATAGGTAGGAAGGAATCGCCACAAACTTTAGAGGAATCGATTCCTAGATTACTGCTTATGATTCGGTAGGGGGGAATCGAATTCACCATGGAAGTGGAGAAGGATGGCAAGTTACCATTCTTGGATGTTCTGTTTGAGAGAAGGTCCAATGGCTCTTTGGGACATTCTGTCTACAGGAAGGCCACCCACACAGATTCCTATCTGAAGCCTGATTCCCACCACCATCCGGCACAAAATAATTCCCTCATAAAAACACTATACCATAAGGCCCACTGCATCTCTGACGAACACCACCTGACCAGTGAATTGGAACATGTACACCTGGCCCTTAAGATGAATGGATATTCAGACCGTTCTATCCGCAAAGCTGTTTCTCCCACCATGGAGAAACAACCCCTTGAGACTCCGATCAAAACCATCACGTTGTCATACATAGCAGACGTTACCAAAAAGATTTCCAAAATTCTAAACAAACACAAGATCCAGGTCCGTTTCAGTACAGTACACAAAATCCGTGATCTGATCCCATCCGTAAAGGATGTCATTCCTGACTTACAGTACCCTGGTGTCTACAAACTGAGTTGCATTTGTGGTGATTGTTATATCGGGGAAACGAAACGACATGTATCTGATCACATTCGCGAGCACAAGTCAGATTTAAAACATGGTAGGACGATTTCTTCTGCCGTAGCTGATTATTATTTCAACACATCGGGTTCTCATGATATTGTTTTCTCCGATACCAAAGTACTCTGCAAGCCGTCTGGATACTACCAAAGATTTGTCCATGAAGCCATCCAGATATACAAACATAGACACAACTTCAACCGAGAGGATGGTTTCAAATTAAGCAATCATTGGAAGGATGTCATCAACCAAGTCAAACTTTAGCTGCCTTATTATTTTACAGCCATATCCATATTTCCAGTCTTTTACTCCCAGCCTGATACACCACCATCACTAGGACATTTTGATGTACAACAGTATTTCAATAGCGCAAAAAAATTATCCCCCCCATCCCACTCTCCCCCGCCTCCCCCTTCCCTCCATTCACCCCCCCCCCCCACCACTTTCGTCATACGCTCACAGTACCCACACTCACCCTCCCCTCCCCTGGCATCACAAAGAAAAAAGATGGTTATCTATCGGCTTAACTCATGCTAATCCCCTGCCCAACCGACCGCGACGGCACACGGCCCCCCCCACCCCTTAGCTCCTCCCCACCCTAGTACCCTATATAAACACGTGTCTCTAAATAGCTCTCTTCATACGCTACAGTCATTTTGCTGGAGCGGTTACACCTGATGACAGATGCTTGTGTTGCTTCCGAAACGTCGTGATTTAATTTAGTTGTTTTATTTTTTATTCGATTTGATTTTGTTTTCACCAACAGTAGAACCTCTGGTCACGAACGCTTCTGACCACGACCAAATCGGGTTCCGACCAAAAAATTCACAACATTTTTTAATCTGGTCACGAACACATACTCGGGTGGCGATCAAACACGGCCGCGGCCGATTTTCCCTTCTGCGCCATTTTTTTGTAAGCGCCAAATTTCCTGTTTGTTTACAAACAACAGCGACCCACGTGTGGCCGCTTGCTCAGTCAGTCTCGCTTATTAATCGGTCTCGGTCAGACATGCACTCATTCGCTGTGAACTCTGTGCAGTATTTTGTGTATTTTTGCATTAATTTAGCAATTAGCCATGTCCTCTAATCAAGTGAAGAGTGGTAATGTTGGTGAGAAGGTTTTAAAGAAAATTGAAATCGAAGTGAAGAAGGAAATTATTATTGAATTGCTCATACGAAAATTCTCTCTCTCAGAATCGACCGACTGATGTAGCAGACAAAACAATCATCTTGTTGAACGATTCTAAACCTTGACGCGGCAATGTTAGTTTTCTGTGTTGTTCAAGGTTTTCTCAGTGTTATCCAATGCTTTTACATTCAGTTTACTATTACACTGTGAATTCTATGGCATAATTAACTATTTTTGTGCTTAAAAATCTTTTTAAAAACAATATTTATATACAGTTCATAGGAGTCTGGAATGGATTAATCATATTTACATATAATCAAATGGGGAAATTAGGTTCGAGTCACGACCAAATCGGGTTGCGACCAAAGTTATGGAACGAATTATGGTCATGACCAGAGGTTCTACTGTACGTGACTTTATCGAAAAACCAAAGAGTATGGGAATCGCCACCCTGAAATTTTACAGATGAATTGATTCCTCTATGACGTCCAAAGAATGGATGGGAGGGAATGCTGTAGTTACAAATAGTTGTCGTTTTAATTGTGTAAATATATTTAAAGTGTTTTGTTTACCCTTCCTATGGCTTTGTACTCCTATCGGTGTTGTTTTGCGTCTTGTATTGTTGTTGCAACGTTCTGACCCCGTGTGCCTCCTACTGGAAAATCTCTAAACAAAGAGCTTTATAGCGTTTCAGATTTCCTACTCCAGCCACAGTATAAATTGTCACTTGCCCTGACAGTCTGTCAACAGACTAGGTTTAGATAATTTCGGCTTGGCTGCCAGACCGACCTCAGCGGCTGGCTCCACCATCGCGTCAATGGCGGAACGCTTTCGTTTCGTCGCACGAGTGGGGCCTCCTTCAGTCATCGGATGGTCATCGATCTGCGAGCTGATCTCGATCGGGACAGCTGGATAGTACGGCAGGTGTTCTGGTGGAATCGAGAAGTACTTCTTTGATAGCGAGGCCAGCTTCTTGTTTGATAAGCTGCTGACAGGAGCCGTCGGCAATCGGATCGACTCGAACGTCCCCTCCTCAATCGTGTTGACATTGGTGCCAAAAAGATCCTGTAGAATGGATCGCCGAACGAGATCGATGTTCTCCGGCATGATCAGCGGGACGCAGGTGACCTCGTTGTCCGGAGTCGAGCTCAGGTGTCTCATGCTGAGCACTCCTTTATCGACCTCAAAGAAGTAGTTGGAAGTGTATCGGGGCGGCATCGACTTGAAGTGCTTCTTCAAAAGACTCTCCCAGCCCGTGTAAAAAGGGCGTTGGGCATCCTGATGATCGATGAACGTCGCCTCGACGCTGTTGATCAGGTTGACAGTATCGACGATATCCGACGGCGTGTAGAAGTTCTTGCCCTTCATCGAATTGCGACACCATGTAACAACTCGATCGGCTTGGTTGTGCGAGTGCCCCGGCATGAGGTACAACAGAACGACTTTGCGGTAGAACAAGAGCGACAGCAACGCAAAGAACATGAACACGACTTGAGACTTGTTCTGGCCAACACAGTTGTCCAGAATCACCACCAGGGTCTTGGACATCGCGCCCGGGTTCTTGGCGAGCAGCCGCATGTGGTACCCGAAGCGGAGACTACACAATGCGTCCGCATCCTTTCCTTGGGCGCGCTCGTCGTAGAAAATCACATTGTTGATACCGCTCGTGATATCCGCCAGCACGAAATTCTGCAAGATCAGGTTTGAATCAAAGTAATCGGCGGACGGCCGCATGTGACCATAGTGTGGCATGGCGAAGCTACCGCCAAATTCCTCAATCTGAATCTGAATCGTCGGCAGGTGACTCGATTCGTGAGCAGAATCGACGTCGGGTTCGGCGTCGTCGTAGTGGTCCGGAATGACGGTGACGGGGATGTTCTGATCAGGAGCGTGCTGCTTGATGTACTCCTTGACGAAAGTGGACACCGTCCGGCGCTGGTCGATGGCCGCATCGAGATGCAAATTCTTCTCCTCCAGTAGGCGCTTGCGCTCATCTGCTGGAAGATCCTCGCACGCGAGCCGGACGTCGAGGCGAACGCAGCAGTCGCAAACGTCTTCCGTGGTGCGCGTCAAGCGCAGTTCAGGATAGAACATGTGAACGTATTGAATCCATCGCGAATACGACACGACTCGACACCCCTTGACTGCATCCAACTTGGCCTTGTATCGGCGATAAAGCTCGGACCAGGTGATGTTGGGCTCAACAAAGTACTGTCGAGGCCGACGATGAGAGCAGGGAAAGTCGTCCTCGATCTCCCACGTGTTGGCATTCTCCTTGATGGCGTCGAGATCATCATCAGCAAGGGCGTGATGTGGAACTTTTGGCGGGCGTCGCGTATGCAGCGTTTCGATGCCATTCTCGAGGACTTTCCGCAATCGATGGATCCTGGAACCGCCGACTGGGATGATCGCACGAATCACCCTCTCCGACAGGCCCTGCTGAAGCATCTGCAGGACAATCCTCTCCGACTGTTGCCACTCAGATCCGCTCCGGTCGGTCTCCATCGACTGCCAATCGTCCCGAATTTTGCGAACAGCGTCATCACCGAGAATGCTGATGGCACGGGCCATTGCAGTGTCCTTGCGATTGCAACGTTCACGAACTTGACGATGCGGGACGTTTTGCTGCGATCCACCACTGCCGCCCACCCGAGGACCGCTTTCGCTGCTGGACAGAGTTGACAATTGTGAGGACGAAAGTGCTGTCGACGTAGCAGATGATGGCGCCGTCGTTGCCGATGATGTCTGGCACGAGGCCGTAGCCGTCGACGCTGGGAACGTGCCGCTGGAAAGGCTGACGTACTCAATGATGCGCTCCATCCACCGACTCGCGACGAAATTGCCGCCGAATGTCTTCCGGAAGTCCTCGAGAACGGCCAGCGATTTGCCAAAGGTGGACGCGGGCAGGGATTGCCAATGATCCTGCCCATACCCGAGCATGGAGTGCATTCGCTTGTTCAGCTCTGCTGCCCTTTTGTTCTCGCTGCGCTTGGACGACATGACAACAGAATGATCCGCGCCGGGTGGGTCGCGGCGTTTATGTGCGCGGTGGGACGGAGTCGCCAACAATAAATTAATGACGATTTTGACTTACGTTCATTCGGGATCCCCGCGGGGTCCCGCCATGAGGTTCAAATGTCCACGTGATGATGGTGATGATGATATCAGCAGCCTCTTGGTTGACATGCCATCATTGTGGTGATGGCAGGTCGCTTTGTCTGGAACAAAAAGCTACACAGCAGCTCAGTGAGGGGACCTTACACCTGGCGAAATAATAAAAGTGGTTTAGAGTTGACGGCAAAAGAGCTTCACAGCTCATCGGATTGCTCCTGCTTCTGCAGTCATTCAAAATCAAGGTTCTGATTTCGATTCCCGTAAGCTTTCGATTCCTGGAATCTTAATTCTGAATCGATTCCGCCTGGCTAGAATCGCTCGAAACCCTATGAATCGATTCGTGCGTGTTCGGAAGAGGATGGAAGGGAGGGGGCGAGATGAATCGATTCTTCGTAATTGATACGGCGAGTAGGAGAGTAAATCGTCGATATAATGAATAGCTTCTTAGGAGGAAGAATTGCCGAAGTAATTCAATCGCTTCATATGGGGCGGAGTCGTCGTGATTGTGGATCGAATCGATTCTTGGCTCGAGGGTGGTTGGAAAATCCCGGGATAGGGAATCGATTCCAGGGGGTGAAATCACCGTAGTAGCGATTCTATTCTTGTTGCGTGTGTTGAGATGGGGCTGAATCGATAAAATAAATAATTTATTCTTAGGGGCCGGAATCGTCGAATTAATCGATTCCTCGATTCCCTCCTCGACCCCCCCAACACCCCTTCCCCCTCCCCTCCTCCCACGCCCACTCCCCCCGCCCCTCTCCTTCCCTCCCCCCACTCTCCCCCCGCCCCTCCCCCCTCCCCAACCCCCTTTTCCCCACTCCCCCCATCCCACTCCCCCCATCCCACTCCCCCCGCCCCGCCCCTCCCCACCCCCCACTCTCCCCCCGCCCCTCCCCACCCCTCCCACGCCCCGCCCCTCCCCCACCCCTCCCCCCAACCCCTCTCTCCCCGCCCCCCACCCCATCCCCCTCTCCCCTCCCTACCACCCCCCGCCCCCTCCCCCCACCCCTCCCTCCTCCACACCCCTCCCCCGCCCCGCCCCCTCTCTCCCCGCCCCCCACCCCAGCCCCACCCCACCCCTTCCCCACCCCTCCCCTCACACCCCTCCCCCGCCCCGCCCCCTTTCTCCCCGCCCCCCACCCCAGCCCCGCCCCTCTCCCACCCCTTCCCCCGCCCCACCCCTCACACCCCACCCCCCCTCCGCCCCCCACCCCACCCCAGCCCCGCCCCTCCCCACCCCCGCCCCGCCCCTCCCCACCCCCCGCCCCGCCCCCCTCCTTCTCTCGCTGTGCTGGCGAACGGAGGCGGCGTTGGAACATCGCGGCCTCGTCGAGGTCGGCGCCTTCACCGACAATTTTATTTGTATCGCCTTCTTCGTCTCCTTCATTCTATTCCTTCATTCTTCTTCATTCTATTCTTTCCCCCGTTTCAATCAAATTTGTTTCGTGTTTAAGTCTTTAAGTTTAAGTCTTAACCATTAAGAATGGTCTTAACCATTCACCATCGTCACCGCCGCCACCACCATTACCACCCTTTACTCTTTAACCAAAACTACCATCAGCATCACTGTCACCACCATCACCACCTCTACCATCACCACCACCATTCACCACCCCCATCACCACCATAACCACCACCATCGCCAACACCATCACCATCATCACCACTACCACCATCATCACCACCCTTTACTCTTTAACTAAAACTGCTGCCTCAACAGCGAAACTCTCTCCTCCTCATCTCTCTCCCCTCCCCTTCTCCTCATCTCTCCCCTCCTCCTCATCCCTCCCCTCCTCCTCTCTAAATGTGTAGACGAAGGCGAGCGGGGTTCGGCCTCGTTCAGCGATCCCGCTCCGGCCATTGTGGGGCCCCCCCTAGGCCTTGACCCACGTGGTTGGTGGTGGTAGTGGCGGTGATTGGTAGTGATGGTGGTGATGATGGTAGTGGTAGTGGTGATTGGTAGTGGTGATGGTGGTGGTGATTGGTGGTGGTGGTGGTAGTGGTGGTGGTAGTAGTGGTGATGGTGGTAGTAGTGGTGGTGGTGGTGATTGGTAGTGGTGGTGGTGATTGGTGGTGGTGGTGGTGATTGGTGGTGGTGGTGGTAGTGGTGGTGGTAATGGTGGTGGTGGTGATTGGTAATGGTGGTGGTGATTGGTAGTGGTGATGTTGGTAGTGGTGATGTTGGTAGTGGTGATGGTGGTGATGTTGGTAGTGGTGATGTTGGTAGTGGTGATGGTGGTAGTGGTGATGGTGGTAGTGGTGATGTTGGTAGTGGTGATGGTGGTAGTGATTGGTAGTGGTGATGGTGGTGATGATGGTAGTGGTAGTGGTGATTGGTGGTGGTGATGGTAGTGGTGGTGATTGGTAGTGGTGGTGATTGGTGGTGATGGTGGTGATGATGGTAGTGGTAGTGGTGATTGGTGGTGGTGATGGTAGTGGTGGTGGTAGTGATGGTGGTGATGGTAGTGGTGGTGATGGTGGTGATGGTAGTGGTGGTGATGATGGTAGTGGTAGTGGTGATTGGTGGTGGTGATGGTAGTGGTGGTGGTAGTGGTGTTAGTGATGATGGTGGTGGTAGTAGTGGTGATTGGTAGTGGTGGTAGTAGTGATGATGGTGGTGGTAGTGGTGGTGATGGTAGTGGTGGTGGTGATGATGGTGTAGTGGTGGTGATTGGTAGTGGTGGTGGTAGTGGTGGTGGCGACGTTTCGGGAGATGAGCCTCGCTCGCGCTCTCTGTGTTGTGTTAGAGAGAGGAGGGTGGGAGAGGTTGATGTTGCGCTTAGGGGAACCCGTCAGTAAAGCCCCCCCCGGGTTTGATTCTCGCTCACGGCCACCATCACTAACAATCACTACTATAATCACCACCACTACCACCACTACCATCACCACCACTATCAACATCACCACTACCACCATCATCACTACTACCATCACCACTACCATCACTAACCACCACTACTATCGCCACCATCACCACCACTACCATCATCACCACTAACCACTACCATCACCACCACTACCATCACCACCACTACCATCATCACCACTACCATCATCACCACTACCATCACCACCACTACCACCATCACCACTACCATCATCACCACTACCATCACCACCACTACTATCGCCACCATCACCACCACTATCATCACCACTATCATCACCACCATCATCATCACTACTAACCACTACCATCACCACCACTACCATCATCACTATCGCCACCATCACTACCGTCATCATTACCACTAACCACTATCACCATCACCACCACCATCATCCAGTGATAGCGATTATCTTACACCCAGGTTACTTGGGAGCCTCCTCCCCCCCCTAGGTTGACTCAGCCTAAAATAGTGTGGTGGTGTTTAGTGAGCGTCGCTAACTGGGGAGACAAAGGCGGCCGGACGTATTATGTGTGTGTATCTATGTGTATGTGTGCCTATGCATGTGTTTCTATGCATGCGTGTGTGTGTCTGTGTACTGTATGTGCACGTGTGTACTGTATAACTGTACTGCATCTCTGTGCTGTGTGTGTGTACTTCATGTGTGTACTGGATCTATTTGCAAAAAATGTACTGCTTCAGTACTTTTATGAGTACTGCATCTGTACTGCTTCTGTGCACTGCATTTGTGTACTGTATCTGTTTCTGCACTGTATATACTGTATATGCGTGTGTACTTTGTAAACTGCGTGTATTGTATGGACTTGATGTGTACTGTATTGCGTGTACTGTGTGTACTGTATGGATGTGTCCACTGTGTACTTTATATGCGTACTGTGTATACTGGATGTGTGTGCTGGATGTACTATGAGTGTACTTTGTGTGCACTGTGTGTGTACTTTGTGTGTGTACTATGTGTGTACTGTATGGACTGTGTCCATTGTGTACTTTATATGCGTACTGTGTGTGTGCTGGATGTGTGTGCTGTGTGTGTGTGTACTGTGTGTGCTATGTGTACTGTGTATACTGGATGTGTGTACTGTGTGTGTGTACTATGTGTGTACTTTGTGTACTGTGTGTGCTATATCTGTACTATGTGTGTGTCCTGTGTGTGTGTAGACCTCCCTCCCACCGGCCCCATCACCATGGTCATGGAAACCCCTCATCCCCTGCACGTGGGGAGAGAGTTTGTGAGGCAGTATTACACTCTGCTGCACCAGGCTCCTGACTTCCTGCACCGGTGAGTGAGTGGGTGAGTCAGTGGCAGGCGTGTGGGTGAGTCGGTGAATGGGTGAGTGTATGCGTGGGTCAGTAGGTAGGTGGGTGGATGAATGAGAGAGTGTATGGGCGGGTAAGTGAGTGAGTGACTGGGTGAGTGAGTTACTGAGTGAGTAGGTGAGTGGTTGGGTGAGTGAGTGACTGGGTGAGTGAGTAAATAGGTGAGTGAGTGAGTGAAGAGTGGTAGAGTAGCGGTTTGCGCACTGCACTACAAACCTGGCAACCTGAGTTCGATTCCCGCTCACGGCCAACACCGGTGACGATTATCTGAACGGTTTCTGAGCCTCCCCTCGGTCGACTCAGCCTCAAATGAGTACCTGGTGTGGTGTGTAAACATTGCCACTAGGGAGACAAAGGCGGCCGGGCGTGGTGTTTGCCACCCACCCCCTTGTCTGCCACACTGCCGGTAGTCTTCATAGGTGCTCGCTAACAGCACTTACCCCAACAGTCTGTTACAGGCTATACGGAGGATATTAGTTTTTGTGAGTGACTGGGTGAGTCTGTTTAACACGTAGTAGGCTTTCAAGATAAATATTCTCATTCATAATACAGTGTTTGTTGGGTTAGATCGCGTAAATATAAATGTGTCGTGAAACCCGCCATCACCTGACACAGCAAATTCGTCAGGGGTTTGTCACGTAAACAGAACATGCCAATTCGTTACTAATACAGCACTAACCAGTGTGTTGGAGAGCAAATCCACAACATTTACAATCTGAAGTAACGACGTTTGGCGAGTAATTACAACCAGTTTCATCAAAATAGGTGTTTCCCCTTGTTTCTGGCAACAAAACTGAAACCTTTTTACAAGAACCTTGTCTGCATTAACCACAATACTTGTGGTCACAATCAAGCAAAAAACACTGATAAGCTTCATCAGGCGACAGCCAACACACCCGTAAGTACCGTACTAGTCACGAATTGGCCATCTTCGACACTAAACCTTACTAATTGGGCTGTGTCGGGTGGTGGCGGGTTTAACAACACGACGTTTCTTATTCACTCGATCTAACCCTAAAAAACCTGTTTTATGAATTATTTAGATTATTTTGCTGCTATACATTTCCACATGATAGTGATGTCAGCCACGTTTGTTGAGCTGCTATCATTTAGTGATGACCAGGTCCGCTTCTAAAAAAACAAGTTAATTAGCTCAGTGGGCTTTACCTGATGAGATAAAAATGTATTAGTTTAGAAACAAGCATTGAGATTAATTATATTATGTTGATGCTATAAATGTGCACGTGATGATGGTGATATCAGCCATTTTGTTGAGCAGCTATGATTTAGTGACAGCCAGATTTGTCCTCTGATAATGCTGCTTGTAATTACTGGCGAAACGTCGTACTCGGATTGCAAATCATGTGGGTTTACTCTTCAACACACAGGTGTGCTGTACTAGTAACAATTGGCATGTTCTGTTTACGTGACAAACCTTACCGATTGGCTGTGTCGGGTGCTGGCGGGTTTAACGACACTACATTTATATTTACCCGTGTTGTGGGTGGGTCTCTCCGCAGGTTCTATGGCAAGGACTCCACCTTCGTCCACGGGGGAGTCGACGCAAACGGAAAACCTTCAGATCCTGTGGTGGGACAAACGGTGGGTACAGCCTCTATCCATTTCTCTCACTCTGTGTCTCTCCCACTCCGTGTCTCTCAATCCGTGTCTTTTTGCCCGTGTCTCTGTCCGTGTCTCTCTCTCCCCTTGTCTCTTTCTCTCCGTGTCTCTGTTTCTCCGTGTCTCTCTCAATCTGTGTCTCTCTCCATGTGTCTTTCCATGTCTCTATATCCTCTCTCCATCCGTCTCTCTCCGTGTCTCTCTGCCCGTGTCTCTCTGCCCGTGTCTCTCTGCCCGTGTCTCTCTGTCCATGTCTCTCTCTCCCCTTGTCTCTTCCTCTCCGTGTCTCAATCCGTGTCTTTCTCTTCGTGTCTCTGTTTCTCCGTGTCTCTCTCAATCTGTGTCTCTCTCCGTGTCTCTCTCTCCTCTTTCCATCCGTCTCTCTCTCCGTGTCTCTCATCTTATCTCACTCTCCTCCGTGTCTCCCCATGTCTCCACGTCTCTCGCTCCCCCTTTGTGTCTATCTCTTCTCGTGTCTCTCCCCCGTGTCTATATCTCTCTGCCCGTGTATCTCTTCCTGTGTATTTCCTCTTGTCTCTCTCCATGTCTCCCTTCCTGTGTCTCTCTCCCCGTGTCTTTTTCTTTTCCTGTCTCTCTCCCTTTATCTCTCTTCCCGTGTATCTCCCCCCCCCTCCATCTCTCTTTGTGTCTCTAAGGAGATCCACGCTTGGATCATGTCTCTGTCTCACGCTGTCTCACACTGTCTCTCTCTGTGTCTTCACGTCTCTGTCTCACACTCTCTCTGCATCTCCGCGTCTCTGTGTCTATCTCTAGGAGATCCACGCCAAGATCGTGTCTCTAGCGTTCCGCGACTGCCGCACCAAGATCCGTGCGGTCGACTCGCAGGCGACGATGGGCGGTGCCGTCGTGGTGCAGGTGCTGGGGGAGCTCAGCAACGCCGGCGGCGCCATGCGCAGATTCCTCCAGACCTTCATCCTCGCGCCCGAGGTGAGCGGATCGCTCGCTCACCCTTAGCCCGCCCGCTCGTTCGCTCATTCATTCGCTCGCTCACTGGCTCACTCACCCGCTCATTTGTTCACCCCGTCGCTTGCTCGCCCGCTCGCTCATTCGCCCGCTCGCTCATTCGCTCGCTCGCTCATTCATTTACCCGCTCGCTCACCCGCTCACTCGCTAATTCACTCGCTCATTCATTCACCCACTCACTTACTCGCTCACCCGCCCACCATCCCCTCTGTCTCTTGCGTTGAGCAGGGCTCTGTTCAGAACAAGTTCTTTGTTCAGAACGATATCTTCCGCTACCAGGACGAGGTCTTCACGGACAGCGACCACAGTGAAGGTACAGAGACGCACACAGAGAGAGATTCATAGAGAGAGATATAGATATACAGAGAGATGCAGAGATGCAGAGATGCATACAGAGAAAAATAGATTTACAGAGATATATAGACACAGAGAGAGACATATTTTCAGAGAGATGTATAGATGGTGGAGAACAGGTCTGTCGAGAAGACAGAGTGAACAGACCTGTTCTCCACCTGAGGGACAGCTGCTTGCGTTGTGGCCGAAACGTCGTGAGAATTGTTTTTTATTATGTTTTATTTTTATTATTTTATTACTTCCATTCTACGTGACTTTACCGAAAGAACCAAGAAGATGAATCCCTGCAGTCACGAAAGCTTTAAATCGAAAAAACTATTTTTACTTTACCAGGTAAGGCCCCACTGAGCTATTTAGATATTTTTTAGAAGTGCCCTGGCTATCACAAATGATAGCAGCTCACCGAAGTGGCTGCTTTTCATCATCATCATCATCACCACGTGGAGATTTATAACAGCAGCCAAATACTCTCTAAACGCATGATATTTCTAAATGTGGAGAAAAAAAAACCGGGGGACCCGGAGAAAAATTCACTCAACCACATAAAAAGAGAGACCCAAACTCGAAATATAATGCAGTAGGCATTGTCAGGGTTGGGATCGAACCCACGACCTCCTGCATACTAGGCGAGGTAGTTAACATATCGTCATACCACAAACTCAAAATATACAGCAGCAGGCATCGGTCAGGGTGGGGCATCGATTCCATGAACTTCTGCACACCAGGCGAGGGAGTTAACATCTTATCATACCGCAAACTCAAAATATACAGTAGCAGGCATCGGTCAGGGTGGGGCATGTGATTTCATGAATCCCTGCACACCAGGCGAGGTAGTTAACATCCCTGAGCCACGGTAGTGACGCCAGTTACCCACAATGCCGTGGTGCGTCTGTCCCCCGTTGCCTCTGCAGACCTGGAGGAAGAAGAGGAGGAGGAGGAAGGGGAGGGAGACTCTGAAGTGGAGAACGGCTCTCCTCTCTACGAGACTCACTCACCCGGGTGAGTGGGTTCACGATGGCTGTGTTGGTGGGGTTCACGATGGCTGTGTGGTGGGGTTTACGATGGCTGTCGGTGTAAGTGGGTTCACGATGGCCGTGTCGGTGGGGTTCACTCTGGCCGTATCGGTGGGGTTCACGATGGCCGTGTCAGTGTGAGTGGGTTCGCAATGGCTGTGTGGTGGGGTTTCAGATGGCTGTCGGTGTAAGTGGGTTCACGATGGCCGTGTTGGTGAGGTTCACGATGGCCGTGTTGGTGTCAGTGGGTTCGCAATGGCTGTGTGGTGGGGTTCACGGTGGCCGTGTCGGTGTCAGTGGGTTCGCAATGGCTGTGTGGTGGGATTCACGGTGGCCGTGTCGGAGACACTTGATATCCTAGGTTCAAGCCTTGGGTCTGGGGTCATCTGCGTGTGTGTGCCCGACTCTCGCTCACAGCCACCAATACCAGTGACAATTATCCGAACCTGTGCTGGGCCTCGCCTTGGTCGATTCAGCCTCACATGAGTACCTGGTGCGGTGTGTAAATGCGGCCGGGCGTGGTGCTGGCTTCATAGGTGCTGCTACTCCCTATTAGCAGCGCTTGCCCCAACAGTCTGTTAAGGCTACACGGAGGATCTTTGTGTTTATCTTCCTTCTGGTATACAGGAGGTCGTGGGTTTGATCCCGACCCTGATGCCTGCTGATATATATTTGAAGTTCACATCTCTCTCTGTCTGTGGTGGTCACTGGGTGGATTTTTCTCCTCCACATTTATAATCAACATCACACGTCTAGAGTAATTTCGGTGCTATACATTTTCACTTGATGATAAGCCACTTTTTGAGCTATCATTTGTGGCCAGGTCGCTTCTAGAAAAGATTTGCATAGCTCAGTGGACGTTATTTGGTAAAATAAAACATAGTTTAGTTTTAGTTGAGACTAAGATGACGGGCAGATGCACCAGCTGTGCCCCTTATTGTGCCAACTTGCTGCGTTTTATCTGCCCAGCACTCCACTCATTGTTCTGAGCGTCGCTCCTCTGCCCTCCGTTGTTGTTGGAGGGCGACTGCCTCCATCTGCCCAGTAGCGTCCTTCACGAGCCTCCTCCACAGAGGCCGATCTTGACATCGCTGGTACTGGTCAGGTCATCAGCAAGTTCACTCGGCTCTGCTTCCTCCCATACCGCTTCAGCTCCATCTCTTCTCCAGGCCGTGTTGTGCAAGTTTAACCTCCTCTATCCCGCCGAACAAAAGCTGTTTAGGCATGCGCTGGCTGTGCATGCGGCTACATGACCCAGCCAACGCAGCCTCCTTGCCTGCCGGAGGAGCTCACCGATGATGGGACTGTGTCCAGATCTTGAAAGCATTTGCAAGCTGATGATATTGCTGCTGCTAATGCTCAATTATGCTGTTGCTGATGTTCCCTCTCTTTAACAGCAACGCGCCTTCCGATATGACACAACCTATCTCAAACAACACCCAACATCATTATCAGCAACAGCAGCAGCAGCAACATCAGCAGCAGCAGCAACTTCATCAGTTGCCAAAGGATGAGATGCGGGGAGACGCGGCCGGTAGAGGAGGTGTTGCTGATGAGGTGGTGGAGGCGGAGGTGGAGGAAGAGGAAGAGGTGGAGGAGGAGGTGTCACCAACGACTATTGAGACCCACACTGCATCATCAACATCAGCAGCAGCAGCAGCAACATCATCAGCAGCGGCAGTGGTAGCAGCGGCAGCAGCAGTTGCATCGGCAACAGCAGCAACAGCATCGGCAGCGACAGCAGCTGTGGAACCTGCACCAGCAAAGGTGAATGGGTGGGTGGGTGAGTGAATTGGTGGGTAGGTGAGTGAGTGGGTGGGTGGGTGAGTAGGTAAGTGAATTGGTGTGTGAGTGGGTGAATTGATTTACGAGTGAGTGGCTTTGTGGGTGGGTGAGTGGGTGGATGAATTGGTTCCTGAGTGGGTAAGTGCATTGGTGGGTGAGTGGGTGAATTGATGTGCGTGAGTGAATTTGTTGGTGAGTGGGTGGGTGGCTGAGTGGGTGAATTGGTGGGTGAGTGGGTGAATTGGTGGGTGGGTGAGTGAGTGGGTGGGTGGTTGAGTAGGTAAATGAATTAGTGTGTGAGTGGGTGAATTGATGTACGAGTGAGTGGCTTTGTGGGTGGGTGAGTGGGTGGATGAATTGGTTCCTGAGTGGGTAAGTGCATTGGTGGGTGAGTGGGTGAATTGATGTGCGTGAGTGAATTTGTTGGTGAATGGGTGGGTGGCTGAGTGGGTGAATTGGTGGGTGAGTGGGTAGGTGAATTTGTGGGTGGGCGGGTGAGTGGGTGAACTGGTGCATGAGTGAGTGAGTGAATTTATAGATGAGTGGGTAGGTGAATTGGTGGGTGAGTGGGTGGGCGGGTGAGAGGATTCATTTGCGAGCGTGCGGGTGATCGACAGTGTTAGTAGTAGTAGCAGCAGCAGTAGTAATAGCAGCAGCTTTAGAACAGTGACTAGGAGACGACTGACCATGTAACCGCATCGTTGTTCATGCCCCCCCCCGTGCCCCCCTGTGCCCCCCCCCCCACCCACCAAACAGCCATTCTCGTGGGCATCCGTGACCAGCAAAAACCTCTCCCAGGGAGGGGGGCTACCCGCCCAGACAGCCAACACCTTCGTACATCACAAGGTGGTGCCAACACAGGTGATGGTGGTGGTGGTGACGTGGGTCTATGTGTGGGTGTCTGCGAGTGTGTGAATGAGTGGCATTTGGACGCGTGCGAGGAGCTGGTAACCCCCCTTCAACCTAAGTACCACTAAACCACGTGGAAAAACATCGAACTAAGCTTGTGCCATAGGCCCTGGGGGCGTCTATGACGTCTCCTAGCCAAACCCCATTTGGCGGAGCTAGGAGACTGCAACTTTAACTCTCACATTAACATCTCTCACATTGACATAGCCACCTCAGGGCACCCGCTGTGGATGCTTCTCAAGGGTCTTACATTAACGTGCTAATTTTTACCTGGCAGCCCTTTGATTGGTGGGAAAACCCACCACCGCCGTGGTCGCTGGCCACCACTTACATTAACATTGGCTTTTTTCGATTTAAAGCTTTCGTGACTGCAGGGATTCATCTTCTTGGTTCTTTCGGTAAAGTCACGTAGAAGGGAAATAATAAAATAATAAAAATTAAACATAATAAAATACAATTCTCACGACATTTCGGCCACAACGCAAGCAGCCGTCCTCAGGTGAAGAACAGGTCTGTCGGAAAGACAGCGTCTGAATGAACACCACCAAGCTTGGCAGCGTATATTTAAGCTAGGTTAGAGGACTTTGACACCCCCCCCCCCCACCTCCTATGCATTCCACAAGTAGTGACTAATCCCACATCTGCATTTACGGAGCATTTTTGTGTCTTGCGGGAGGGGAAATCCCTCAGCCTGGAAAACATCATGGGGCAAAGTGAGGACGATCCTGCTGAGGCTGCAGTGCCTCAAATATTGGAAGTAGTCACCCCCTGTGAGTAGCTGGCTGAGGTACCATCTGTTGAAGTACTGAAGGTGATCCAGAGTCTGTGGCCGGGAAAGCCACCGGGCAGAGATGATCTCCCAAGTGAAATGCTGAAGGAGGGTGGCGTTTATGAGACATAATAACAGCCTGAACCACTGGACAGGTTCTGCAGGATTGGAAAGATGCCCTGGTGGTCCCCCTCTTTAAGAAGGGGGGGACTGCACAGACTGTAACAACTACAGGGGCATCTCACTTCTCAGTGTGTCGGGAAAGGTCCTGGCAAGGATTATTCAACATCGCCTTGCTAGGCACGCTGAGGGGAGGCTTGTGGAGCCCCAATGTAGTTTCAGCAAAGGGCGGTCCTGCACAGATACCATATTTTCTGTCCGTCTGCTACAGCAGAGGTGTAGGGAATTCCAACAGGACCTACATCTCTGCTTTATTGATCTGATCAAGGCCTATGCTACCATCAAAAGGCCTGGGCTCTGGGTTGATCTTTGTGCTTTTAGAGTCCCTGACTCTGCTCACAATCATTCATGACCTTCATGATGATGAGCAGACTCAGGTAAAACTACGTGGTCAGGAGTCAGAGCCATTCCCTGTTCAGCTCGTGGTGCGACACCTTTTTTGCCCATGTAGTTTGTGACTCCTTCGATGTCTGTACCGGAAGAATCTCCATCTGGCTCAGGTACAATGGAAGGCTGATCGATGCCCGAGTGCGGTCAAGGGATGGCTCCCTATTGGTCAACCATGTTATGTATGCTGATGATCTGGTGATTGCTGCTCACTCAGAGGGGGAGTTAGAGGCGCTGCTGCTGAACCTGGAGTGTGCTACTAAGAGGTGGGGGCCTTACCATCAGCCCCCCCCAAATCTAAGCACCTGCCTGAGTATTAAGTGCCATCAGACACTCCACCCCCACAACTCCCAATTGGTGATGGGACAGGGTGCTTATGACCACCTCTGGTTTGACAGCAGAGGTCTCACTCCGAATCAGTCTAGCGGCATTATCTTTTCATAGGCTGCGTAACGCTGTGTAGAAGCTACCTGGTCTGTTGCTCCACACGAAGCTTTGGGTTTTCTCAGCCACGGTCATTCTTTCCCTTTTCTATGCTTGAAAAACGTGGACCCCACCCCTAATGGAACATCTGTGCCACTTAGAAACATTTAGGCTCGCCTACCTACGATCCATTCTGGGTTTAACCTGCAGACTGGATTACGTAAGGAGCTCACAAATCCTTGAAAGATCTGGACAAAGTCTCATTGGTGAGCTCCGGCAGGCAAAGCTGTGTTGGCTGGGTCATTTAGCCCACATGCTCAGTGCATGCCTAAACAGCTTTTGTTTAGGCGGTTAGAGGAGGCTAAACGGGCGTGGCACGGGATTAAAAAGAGATGGAGTGATGTGATACAAGAGGATGTGGAGCTGAGTGCACTTGCTGATGACTCGTACCAGTGGTGTCAAGATCAGCCTCTTTGGAGGAGGCTCGTGAAGGACGCTACTGGGCAGTTGGAGGCAGTCGCCCTCCAGCAACAACAGAGGGCAGAAGAGTGACGCTCACAACAACGAGCGGAGTTCCGGGCGGCTAAAGCACAGCAAGTTGACACAGTCGGGGGCACAGGTGGTGCATCTGCCAGTCATCTCAGTCAATAAACCTATGGCACCTGGGGTCTATCCCATGACCTGCCAGCGGGCGTTCAACACATTACTTGGCGTAAAGTGCACTTAGCCTGGCACAAGTGGCGCGGCACCGCCACTTCGTTGCGAATGGCGGTTGTTGTTGTTGTAGCGGTTAGCGTTACCTTGCGTGACAAACCCAACGACGCGAGTTTGATTCCCGCTCATGGCCCACACCAGGGACGATTATCTGAACCGGTCCTGGGCCTCCCCTAGGTCTACTCAGCCTCAAATGAGTACCTGGTGGTGCGGTGTGTAGTAAACATCGCCACTGGGGGAGACAAAGGCAGCCGGGCGTGGTGCTGGCCACCCACCCCCTCGTGTGCCACAGAGCCGGTAGCCTTCATAGGTGCTCGCTCACAGCACTTGCCCCAAAAGTTTGTGACAGGCTACACGGTGGATCTTTGTATTTGTCCGTTTGAGTCTGTGCGAGAACCATAGACTTGGGCTGAGACTCGCAGACTCGATGGTGATTTGCGTACATTGTCTGTGTGTCTCTTTCTCTGTGTCTGTGTTTCGTGAGTACAGGCCAACGTGGAGCCCAAACCCGAGCCCCCTCGTGGCACCCGAGGGGAGGGGCGGCCTGGGGGTCCCCCCCTCCAATCACGGCCCCCACCCCGGCAGGGTAAGTGGGGTGGATGGGTGAGTGTGTGAGTGAATGGATGGGTGGTTGGGTGGGTGGTTGGGTGGGTGGGTGGGTGCGTGAGTGTTCGTGAGTGAGTGTGTGCGTGAGTGAGTGTGTGCGTGAGTGAGTGTGTGAATGGGTGGGTGGGTGGTTGGGTGCGTGGGTGGTTGGGTGCGTGGTTGCGTGGTTGGGTGGGTGAGTGGGTGGGTGGTTGGGTGGGTGGGTGGTTGGATTTGTGGTTGGGTGGGTGGGTTGGTGGTTGGGTGGGTTGGTGTGTCTTTGACACAGACACCTGTGTCGGAATGATTGGAAGGCATGGGCCAGATCAGCTCAATTACAACGGTGGGATGCTGCTAGACTTCTGTGCTGTCCATGGGCATATAACTACCAACACGCTATTGCGGTATCGGCGCATCCACACGACATGGATGCACGCCGGGTCCAAGCAAGAACATCTGCTGGACTATATAGTGATGGAACAGTGGATTCATACCCACATGGGTATAGAGCTTATCTGCCCACTGACCATCGGCTTGTCATCTGCAAGATGCGCCTGCCATAGATTTGACTTGCCGATGACCGGTACCAGCGGTGTCAGGATCGGCCCTCTTTTGAGGAGGAGGCTCGTGAAGGACGTGACTGGGCAGTGCCAGGCTAGGTGCATCTCGAGGCTGGTGGACAGTTGGGAGACAGTGTCGCCCTCCAGCAACAGCGGAGGAGCGATGCTCGCAACGACGAGCGGAGCGTCGGGCGGCTAAAAAGCAGAAAGTTGTCACAGCTGAGGGCACGGGCACCACAGTGGCTTTATGGATGTTAACTACCTCGCCTGGTACATGGGAGCACGTGGGTTTTGATCCCAACCCTGACGCCTGCTCTATAATTCGAGTTTGCGTCTCTCTCTCCGTAAACGCTGCCGTACATTTCGACGTGATGACGATAAGCCGCTTCGTTGAGCCGCCATTTGTGATTTCCACGTCGCTTCTGAGCGATACAGCTCAGTGGGCCTTACCTAGTCAAAGACATAATTGTTTTAGTTTAAATTGCTCATCTGTTGTCAATCTTTAAATCCATGGCATCTGCAGGGTCTCTCCCGTGACCACCTCCTGCACCTAGCCTGGCACAGCAGTCAACCCATGGCACCTGCAGGGTCCGTCCCGTGACCTCCTCCTGCACCTAGCCTGGCACAGCAGTCAACCCATGGCACCTGCAGGGTCTGTCCTGTGACCTGCACCTAGCCTGGCACAGCAGTCAACCTATTCCACCTGCAGGGTCCGTCCCGTGACCTCCTCCTGCACCTAGCCTGGCACAGCAGTCAACCCATGGCACCTGCAGGGTCTGTCCCGTGGCTTCCTCCTGCACCTAGCCTGGCACAGCAGTCAACCCATGGCACCTGCAGGGTCCGTCCCGTGACCTCCTGCACCTAGCCTGGCACAGCAGTCAACCCATGGCACCTGCAGGGTCTGTCCTGTGACCTCTTGCACCTAGCCTGGCACAGCAGCCAACCTTTTCCACCTGCAGGGTCTGTCCCGTGACCTACCGGTGGCTATTCTGTCCTACCAATTCAAACTTTTTTATTTATTTTACCACGTGTAAAGCCCCACTGAACTGGTGTGTAGCTCTTTTTCAGAAGCGACCGGGCCATCACAAATAATAGCTCAACGAACTGGCTATCATCATCATACTGTGGAAACTTATAGCAGCAGCCAAATACTCTCTCTCGACGCGCGGTGGCGTTGATTCTAAATGTGGAGGGAAAAAAAACAGAGGACCCCGGCCAAAAATCCACGCAGTGACCACTATCGGGACAGACGCAGACTCCAAATACACAGCAGCAGGCATCGTCAGGGTCGGGATCGAACCCAGGACCTCCTGCATACCAGGCGAGGTAGTTAACATCTCCTAGCCACCGTGATAGTTAGAGAGAGAGAGACGCAAACTCCAAATATAAAGGAGCAGGCATCGTCAGGGTCGGGATCGAACCCACGACCTGCTGCATACCAGGCGAGGTAGTTAACATCTCCTAGCCGACCGTGATGATGATGAGAGAGAGACAAGCAGACTCCAAATATAAAGGAGCAGGCATCGTCAGGGTTGGGATGGAACCCACGACCTCCTACATACCAGGCGAGGTAGTTAACATCTCCTAGCCACCGTGATAGTCAGAGAGAGAAACGCAAACTCCAAATATAAAGGAGCAGGCATCATCAGGGTCGGGATCGAACCCACGACCTGCTGCATACCAGGCGAGGTAGTTAACGTCTAGTCACCGTGCCCTCGGTGTTTAGATAGCTAAACGCTGTCCCAACGGTATACGTGAATATGGTGACCTTCTGAAACATTGTGTTCCTTGAAACGATTCGCGTACATCTTAAAAAGTTAAATTCCGATTCGGCTAATGAAAACTTAAAAAAAAATTGTTGGTAAAAAAAAAGTGTAAAATGGCACTCAGGCTCCCTCTGTGTCTCTCCCTGTCTCTCTCTCCCTGTGTATGTCTCCCTGTGTCTCTCCCTGTCTCTCTCCCTGTGTCTCTTTCTGTCTCTTCCCCTGTGTCTCTCCCTGTGTCTATCTCCCTGTGTCTCTTTCTGTCTCTTCCCCTGTGTCTCTCCCTGTGTCTGTCTCCCTGTCTCTTTCTGTCTCTTACCCTGTGTCTCTCCCTGTCTCTCCGTTGTCTGTCTGTCCGTGTCTCTCTCTCCTTGCCTCTTTTTCCATGTCCCTCTTTCTCCGTCTCTGTGTCTCTTTCCGTGTCTCTTTGTTTCTCTCGCCGTGTCTCTCTCTCTGTCCGTGTGTCTCTCTCTCTGTGTCTGTCTGTGTGTGTCTCTGTCCGTGTTTCTCTGTCTCCGTGTCTTTCTCTGTTCGCGTGTCTCTGTGTCTCTCTGTCCGCGTGTCTCTCTCTGTGTCTATCTCTCTCTCCGTTTGTCTCTCTGTCCGTGTGTCTCTCTGCTGGCAGTGAGAGGCGGTGATACGGATCCATCCGTGGATGGGGAAGCGCGACGTTTCCCTCGCTACGCAGACTCGCAGCAGCTGTTTGTGGGCAACCTCCCCTACAGCATGGAGGAGACTTCCCTTCGAGACTTCTTCTCCTGTGAGACCACTCACAGAGACACGGACACACTCGCTCAGACTCACATAGATTAAGAGACTCACTCAGACCCACATAGATTAAGAGACTCACTTAGGTTCACATAGATTAAGAGACTCACTTAGGTTCACATAGATACGGAGACTCAATCAGACTCGCATGCATACATACATACAGAGATTCACTCAGACTCACATAGATACAAACTCACTCAGACTCGCATAGATTAAGAGACTCACTCAGACCCACATAGATTAAGAGACTCACTTAGGTTCACATAGATACGGAGACTCACTCAGACTCGCATACATACATATACAGATTCACTCAGACTCGCATAGATACAGACTCACTCAGACTCGCATAGATTTAGAAACTCACTTAGGTTCACATAGATACAGAGACTCACTCAGATTCGCATAGATTCAGAGACTCACTTAGGTTCACATAGATACGGAGACTCACTCAGACTCGCATACATACATACATATACAGATTCACTCAGACTCGCATAGATACAGACTCACTCAGACTCGCATAGATTTAGAAACTCACTTAGGTTCACATAGATACAGAGATTCACTCAGATTCGCATAGATTCAGAGACTCGCTCAGAGACTCACTCAGACTCACATAGATTCAGACACTCACTCAGAGACTTACTCAGAGACTCACTCGTTCAAATAGAGATTCGCTCACGTACTTCACACGGGGAGAGAGTCACTCACGTATGTGTCTCTCTCTGTTTCTCTTTCTATCGGTATTTCTCTCTCTCTCTCTGCCGTGTGTCCCTGTAGCTTACGGTAATGTCTATTGAGGCAATTCTATCTCTCACTGTATCTCTCTGTAGATATGTATTAGTATGTTTAACACATAGGCTTTCGCGACCAATATTAATCATAATAAAGTTTTTTGGTTAGATCGCGTTATTTAAAAACTGTAAATGTTGTGGATTCACTCTTCAACACTCCGGTGGGCTAAAGCAGTGAACTATTTTGTCTTTTGTCAACGTGACACTTTTTTGCTGATTGGCCGTGTCGGGTGGTGGAGGGTTACGTCACATTTATAAATAACGCGATCTAACCCAAGAACGTTTGTTATGAATGTATTAGAATGTCTCTCCCTCTCTGTATAGACATTTATCTCTTTCAATTGATATACATCTGTCTATAGATATTTATCTCTAGATATTAATCTCTTTGTCCCGATATTTATCTCTGTATTTCCATGTTTCTCGATAGATATCTATCTCTGCCTCTATACACATTTATCTCTATAGATATATAGCTATCTCTATAGATATTTATCTCTGGATATGCATTTTCTCTCTGTACAGATAATCTTCCCTCTCTGTATAGATATCAATTTCTCTGTATAGACATTGATCGCTCTCTCTCTTTCTCTCAGCGTATGGGACGGTGCTGAGCGTGCGCATCAACACCCAGGGCGCCTCGGCAGTGACAGGGAGGAAGCTGCCCAACTACGGCTTCGTGATCTTCAGCGACGCAGACTCCGTGCAGAAGATCCTCGCGGCCAAGGTGGGAGAGGGGGAGAGGGGTGGGAGAGGGAGGGAGGGAGGGGGAGAGGGAGGGAGGGGGAGAGGGGTGGGGGAGAGGGGTGGGAGAGGGGTGGGAGAGGGGTGGGAGAGGGGGAGGGAGGGGGAGAGGGGTGAGGGAGGGGGTGGGAGAGGTGGAGGGAGGTGGGAGAGGGGGGAGAGAGGTGGGAGAGAGGTGGGAGAGAGGAAGACAGAGAGCGAGTTTTAAACCATTTTTATTGCTGCCAACAACAAAAGTACTGGAGCCGATTGCGATACAAAGTCACATCAAGTCCAGTGTCCACGTGTGCACGTCGCAAACGCACACGGCACCACACGTGCCGCGTGTACCACAAACGGTACGTCGACACGCGCGATGAATGAACCCATTAAAAGTCAAATCAAGAACGCCGTTGGCGCTGGTCAGAGGTGCTCGACCGCCCCCACCCCCCACCGTTCAAAGAACCACGGCACGCATCCTCGGCGTTGCGAGTGGTACGTGGTGGTCCAGCCAGAGCCGTGCCTTGAGCCAGGGCCCCCCCTTCCCCTCTCAGCATCGCCTCCCCACCGCCAGAGCGGCTGTCGGTTGTCGCCTCGCGGCGTCTTTCCCCCCCCCTGGTCTCGTAAACCCGCGCGCCTTCTTCGCTTGGGCACAGACGAAGTTTGCAAGATCGTGGCGCTTATTAGCCGGGTGTAAGGCAACCGCCACATCCCGTGTGTGAAACTGCTTTGGTAAAAAGGCACCTCCAGTCTCCTGAAAATGGACCCCAAAAGCCGGAACATTGCGGGTTGAGCCGCGGGACACCCCAAATACTGACGGGGCCAGATCCTCCCTGGCTCAGCAGAACGCGCACACAACAGTCCGGCGCTCCTGGGGGGATTCGGCTCAGCCACACAGCCGAGGGCACCGTCGGGTGAGCCGTCCTCTGCTGGAGGTCACCGCGGCATTTGGCTACGAGAGGCTTGAACATCTGCTGCCACTGGGTGGTGAGAGAGGGGGGAGAGAGGAAGAGAGAGATTGAGAGAGATGGAGAGAGATGGAGAGAGAGTGAGATGGAGAGAGGTTGAGAGAGGGAAGGGGAGAGAGGGGGAGGAAGCTGCCCAACTACGGCTTTGTGATCTCCTAGCGGCCATGGTGGGTGGGTGGGTGGGAGGAGTCGGGGTCCGGATCAAACCCACGACCTTCTGCATACCAAGCGTGGGTGTTAACACCTGGGTGGTGATGGTCTCTGTTTCCTGATATCTAACCGGTGGTGGTGTTGGTGTAGGTCATGGTGGAGATAATGATGGTGGTGATGGTGCTGATAATGGTGGTGATTATGATAGTGGTGATGGTGATAGTGGTGGTGTGATGATGTTGGTGGTGTGTTGATGGTGATGATGATGGTGTAGTGGTGTTGATGATGGCGGTGGTGGTGATCGTAGTGATGATGATGGTGGTGATGGTACTGGTAGTGATGATGGTAGTGATGATGGTGGTGGTGGTGGTCTGGGCCGTATTATCCAACTGGCCACAGGGCCTACGAAAAACATTTTGGCTATGTCATTTTTGGTTGTTTGATTTAAAAAAAGTCAACCTTATGTAGCGTTTAGTAGTGTTTAGTAGTGTAGTGTACAGTTTCCTGTATATCAGTGTAGTGTTGTAGTGTATAGTGTAGTGTATAGTAGTGTGTGTTGTGTAGTAGTGTGTATGTATGCATGTTAAACTTCTTTCCAGCACTGATCGTTACCCGTGGTGCATTATGGTTGCACTTTGGGCTCCATTACAGTGCCAGATCAAACTCGTCCTCTAACGAAGGGCTAGACTCATCAGTAGTCTGGTTCTTTCCAACGTGATGAACAATGGCACACTCATCAGTAGACTTATAAGACTTATCAGTAAGCTTATCAGACTCATCAGTAGACTTATGAGTAGAATTATCAGTAGACTTATCCGTAGTTGTATCCAAATATTTATCAGACTTATCAGTAGACTTATCAGACAAGTCAGTCGACTTACCAGTAGACGTATCAATATACTTAGACTCATCAGTAGAGTTATCAGTAGACATCATACTTTTCAGTAGATATCAGACTGAGTGAAGAAACAAACGCTGTCTCCCCGACAGACCTGGTCTTCACCTGAGGACGGCTGCTTGCGTTGTGGCCGAAACGTCGTGAGAATTGTATTTTATTATGTTTAATTTTTATTATTTCCCTTCTACGTGACTTTACCGAAAGAACCAAGAAGATGAATGCATATTAATTACAATGAGTATCCATTGCCAGCTGGGTTATTCATACAGGATGATGGTATCTGTGTGTGTGTCTCCTGCAGCCCATCATGTACCAGGGAGACCACCGCCTCAACGTGGAGGAGAAGAAGCGGCGCGGATTCCGGGAGGGTGGAGGTGCAGGAGGAGGTGGGGGCCGTGGAGGAGGGGGGAGGGGCTATGGAGGATCCCGGCCCTCGACGGCCCCCAGGGTTGGTGGGGGGGGGCTGTCAACCCCCCACCCGGCTGAGTGAAGAAACAAACATGGAGAGGGTGGGTGAGAGGGTTGGGTGGGTTAGTTGACTCGCTAACCCACCCACTCAATCACCCACCCACTCGCCCACTCACCCACCCACTCATCCACCCACTCACTCACCCACTCACCGACTCACTAACTCACCCACTCAATCACTCACCCACCCACTCATTTACTCATCCACCCACTCACCCACTCAATCACTCACCCACCCATTCACTTGCCCACTCACCCACCCACTCACCCACCCACTCACTCACTTGTTCACTCACTCACACACGCACTTGCTCACCCACCCACCAACTCACCCATTGAACTCGCCCACCAACTCCTCACCCACTCATGCGCACACTCAACAAAGACAAAGATCCCCCCCCCTCCCCTCTGTACAGCACTTGCCCCCACAGTCTGTTAAGGCTATACTGGGTGTGGGGGGAACTTTGTCTTTGGTGAGAGAGAGAGGGAGGGGGTAGAGAGGAGGGGGGGTGTTACTGTGTGGCCCTGACAAAGACAAAGATCCCCCACGTAGCCTGAAACAGACTGTAGGGGCAGGTGCTGTTAGTAGCGAGTGGCAGCAGCGCCTATGAAAGCTACCGGCACTGTTGGCACACGAGGTGGTGGGTGGCCAGCACCACGCCCACCCGTACTCATTTGAGGCCGAGTCGACCTAGGGGAGGCCCAGGACCTGTTCAGACATTCGTCTCGCCGCTGGCGTGTTGGTGGACGTGAGCAGGAATCGAACTCGGGTCGAAGCCGTCAGCGCAGCCGCTAACCGCTGGCCCTGAGCACACAGGGTTTTCAGCAACAACCACCAGTTAGCATCATCGTCATCCATGGTGAATGCCGATCGGATGCGGGAAAAACAATCTGGGAGTTGAAATTCCAATTTAATCGAGAGAGATGATGATTTTTATTATATTGCGGTAAAGACATTTATATTTTGGCGGAGGTTCCCTGTATGCGCACGAAACGTTTGAACGGAGAAATTTCAATGTAAACCCTTTCCCGTACCAATAATGTTCGTACAGATCAGCGCGGTTGGCTTCGTGCGGTGCGAAAGAAGTTCAACATCCATACACAGAGGCCCACAGACCCATAGAAACCCACATAGGTCCACAGATTAGCACGGTTGGCTACATGCGGTGCTAAAGAAGTTCAACATCCATACACAGAAACCCACAGACCCATAGAGATCCACGTAGATCCACAGATTAGCACAGTTGGTTACGTACGTTGCGAACAAAGTTCAACACACGGCTGACGTTAAAAAAATCCCTGTGACCTTGCTTCACAAGAGGAATCGGCCATCATGCCCCGGCCAGAGTCGGGGCCGTCCAAACGTTGATATTTGGCAAGTGTGATTACACTGCAAATTACCATCGCATGGTTCTGGAAAAACAACATGGCAGCAGGGATCATCACCCATAACTGTACTGGCAGCAGACGAACGCACATGGGCAGCTGCTACTGGGGTGCCCCCGAGGCTCGACTCAGCAGCGATCATCGCCCCCTACTGACTAACGCACCGAGGCAGCTGCCACTGGGGGTTCCCCCTATGCTAGACGACACAACATAGAACGGCTCCGTTAGACGGCGCAAGTTCTCACTTCTGCGTTTTTTCCCCATCGGGTTGTGCCTTCTTCACACGAGCTCGTTCCATTGAACGCTGTCGTATTTTCCGGTGGTCTTTTTTGTTGTTGGACGATATAATAATTATATATTTTTTCTTTTCAAATTCTCTAACCCCCTTGATTTGACGGTGTTTCTGTGTCGACTTTAAACTAAAACAACAACGAAAAATAATAGTACGCGCTTTTTTGTCTTTGAGCCAAAAAATAAAGATGAGCACGTTTGTTTGAGTTTATGAAATTATGGCGAGTGGTTGGATGGGTGAGTGGACGGGTGGGTTAATGATGGAGTGGATGGGTCAATGGGTGGGTGCCTGGGTATTTTGTGCCACCAAACACTCCACCCCCTCAGCTCCCCATTGGTGATGGAGCAGTTCTGGATAGAGTGGAGAGTTTTGCATACCTGGGCAGTGTGTTTATGACCAGCGTGGGTTTGACAGCAGAGGTCTCGCTGAATCAGTCGGGCGGCATATTTTCATCGGCTGCACAATGCCGTGTGAAAGCTACCTTGCCTGTCGCTCCGCAAGAAGCTTCAGGTCTTCTCAGCCACAGTCATCCCCCTATATTCTCTTAAGCTTTTGAAACGTGGACCTCTCTAATGGAACATCTGCGCTGGTTAGACATTCAGGCTGGCATGCCTACGATCCATCCTGGGTTTAACTAGGCTGGATTGTGTGATGAGCTCAAATCCTTGAAAGATCTGGACACATTCCCATCGGTGAGCTCCGGCAGGCAATGCTGCGTTGGCTGGGTCATGTAGCCCGCATGCCCAGTCACCGCATGCCCACACAGCTTCTGTTTGGCTGCATAGAGGGGACTAAATGGGCACGACATGGGCTGGAGAAGAGATGGAGTGATGCGATTTGGGAGGATGAGGCGCTGAGTGGACTTACTGATGACTGGTACCAGCGGTGTCAAGCTCGGCCTCTGGAGGAGGTTCGTGAAGGACGCTGCTGCAGGGCAATTGGAGGCAGCCGCCCTCCAGCAACAACAGAGGGCAGAGCGACGCTCACAGCAATGAGTGGAGCACCGGGTGGCTAAAATGCAGCAAGTTGGCACAGTAGGGGGCACAGCTGATACATCTACCAGTCATTTTGGTCAGCCAACCAATGAGTGGTTGGATGGGTCAATGCGTGGGTTACAAGTGGGTGGGTTCGTGAGTGGGTGGGTAAATGGGGAGCGCACTCCACTACCAATTTGGTCAACTCCTGCCATCTGCATTGAGACGAGCACGGTTGCCTACGTGCGGTGCGAAAGAAGTTCAACATACATGCACAGAGACCCAAGCCTATCGAGACCCACAGATGCCGACAGAGACCTACAGAGACCCACAGAGACCTACAGAGACCCACAGATTAGTACGAATGGCTATGTTCAGTGCCAAAGAAGTTCAACATACTGAATCGTTTTTATAAAAAAAAAATCGGTTGATTCCCAGTTAATCGAGCATTGGATCGTAAAAAATACGTCGATTCCAGTTCCCATGTTCCTTATATGGGCACAGTCATGCCCAATTACTCCATATATATAGGCTTAAAGCGTATCTGTCAACCCCTTATCAGTACCTACCATATTATAGACCAATTCAGACCTTATTTGTCACCCCATGCCCTAATAAATCTCAACGTTCATCCTACAAAGTCTCATCTATATATATAAAATCGTGAATCTGTCTGTCTGTGTGTCTGTGTGTCGCCGGACCATACGCACTTTCATTGGACGCCGGTTGCCTCTGCCAACGGCTAGCGACGCCTTCACCGCTTTCATTGGACCTGGCAACGGCTAGCGACGCCTTCGCCAAGGGCTGCACTTTCATTGGACGTCGGTTGCCCCTGCCAATAGCTAGCCACGCCTTTGCCACTTTCATAGGCTCCGTAATTAATTAAATAATAGCCATTACACAGTATTGTTGGAGCGCTGAGGGGGGGGGGGAAGGAACGCCACCCGTACCCTGCCTCTGCCGGGTGCCCAATTTTGGCGAGGCCGCAGGCTCTGCACGCTACTAGGCCTCGACACCCACCACGCCACTCTGAGGTAAATTCATCAAAGTTTTTCGTACTCTTCACTCCACCCCCACCACAATGTGTGCAATTAATATTACTTTTAAACCCAACGCGCCAACAATCGATTACTTAAATGTTCACTGTACAAATAGTCATTAAGCTGGGTCAGCGTACTGCCAGTCTATCATGTAGACTGTAGCCTGCTTATTAAGCTCGGTGAGCGTACTGCCACTCTATCATGTACACTCTAGCCTGCTTATGAAGCTGAGTGCGTGTACTGGCAGTCTATAATGTGGACTGTTGCCTGCTTATTATAATCGATTCTTTATATGTTCTTTGTACAAATAGTCATTAAGCTGGTTGAGCGCCCCCAGTTCGATTCCAACTCACGCCCACCACCGCTGACGATTATTTGAAACGGACCTGGGCCTCCCCTAGGTCGACTCAGCCTCAAACGCGTAACTGCTGTCGTGTGTGAACATCGTCACTGGGGAGACAAAGGCGGCCGGGCATCGTGGATCCAAGTCCCGGGCGAAGCCGGGTCATGTCTATGTGTGTATGTGTTTATGTGTATGTCTGTGTGTCTGTATGTATGTGTGTATGTATGTGTGTGTATGTGTTTGTGTGTATGTGTGTGTGTATGTATGTGGGTTTTTTTGTATGTCTTTATGTGTATGTCTGCGTGTCTGTATGTATGTGTGTATGTACGTGTGTGCATGTGTTTGTGTCTATGTATGTGTGTGTCTATGTATGTGTGTATGTGTTTCTGTGTATGTATGTGTGTGTATGTATGTGTGTTATGTGTCTGTCTGTGTGTCTGCATGTATGTGTGTGTGTATTGTGTATGTGTTTGTATGTGTTTGTGTGTTTACGCTCGCATTACACAAATGTGTTGCAGGTCTAAGGCGTTCCTTGCGCAGCATTGCCGCTTTATTATTTCAGTCGTTTACTGCCGTACGCACCCTGAAAGTCGTGTGTGTCTGCAGCAAGCGCGTGTATGTGTACCTATGGACGCGCGCGCGTGTGTTGTGTAGGGGGAACGGTAGTGTAGTTCTTAGCGTGCTGCCTGTGTCTGTGTGTGTGTGTCTGTGTGTGTGTCTGTGTGTGTCTGTGTGTGTGCGTGTGTGGTGTGTGGGGAGCGGTAGTGTAGTGCTTAGCGTGCTGTCTGTGTGTCTGTGTGTGTCTGTCTGTGTGTGTCTGCGTGTGTCTGTGTGTGTGTCTGTGTGTGTGTCTGTGCGTGTGTGGTGTGTGAGGATCGGTGGGTGTAGTGCTTAACGCTACGCTGCGCTACCAACCCGGCGAACCCAGTTCGATTCCCGCTCACGGCCACCACCGGTGACCATTATTTGAACCTCCCCTAGGTCGACTCTGCCTCAAACGAGTAACTGCTGTGGCGTATTAACATCGCCACTGGGGAGACAAAGGCGGCCGGCCGTGGTGGATACAAGTCCCGGGCGAAGCCGGGTAGTACAGCTAGTCACAAGAGAGAAACACAAACAAATAGACAAAACCCCAAAAATTGCCCTATTTTTACGGCAGGATGCCGTGTGGACCTGAAAACTCAATTTTCCTGTACACGAATACGGGGTAAACCGTATGCGTTGACACGGTATGCGAAAGCATTAAATAATGTATCATTTAATATTGTCGCAGATTCATTTTGTCCTGTGTCGGAGTCTCTGTCGCTGCCTCAAATTAATAATAAAAACATTCCTACAACATCGCGTGAGGATGTATCAAGCCGATGGGGGGCACAGCGAGACAATTTAATTTCCCACCAAACGGCTTTCATGGTCGGCGGTAGCTCCCCCATTGAAACCAATGGGGGGCACGAGATGGCCCCATTCAACCCAATCCCATTGAAACCAATGATGGGCACGAGATGGCCCCGTTCAACCCAATCCAATTGAAATCAATGCTGGGCACGAGATGGCCCCATTCAACCCAATCCCATTGAAACCAATGATGGGCACGAGATGGCCCCATTCAACCCAATCCCATTGAAACCAATGATGGGCACGAGATGGCCACATTCAACCCAATCTCATTGAAACCAATGATGGGCACGAGATGGCCCCGTTCAACCCAATGCCATTGAAACCAATGATGGGCACGAGATGGCCACATTCAACCCAATCTCATTGAAACCAATGATGGGCACGAGATGGGCCCCGTTCAACCCAATCGCATTGAAACCAATGATGGGCACGAGATGGCCCCGTTCAACCCAATACCATTGAAACCAATGATGGGCACGAGATGGGCCCATTCAACCAAATCTCATTGAATCCAATGATGGGCACGAGATGGGCCCCATTCAACCCAATCTCATTGAAACCAATGATGGACACGAGATGACCCCATTCAACCCAATACCATTGAAACCAATGATGGGCACGAGATGGCCCCTTTCAACCCAATCCCATTGAAACCAATGATGGGCACGAGATGGCCCCATTCAACCCAATGGGTTGAATGGGGCCATCTCCCCAAATGGCTTTGAATGGTGGGCACGCGCTCCCCATTGCAACCAATGGGGGGCGCGAGACTCATCCTAGACAATGGCTTCCTATGGTTGGCGGGCGCTCCCCCATTCGACGCAATGGTGGGGGCGCGAGACCTTTCCAAGGAAGATAAGGGGCCGTCCATAAATGACGTCACGCACCTAGGGGGCGGGAGGGGCGTCAAACATTTTTGACGAGGGGGGGGGTAGTTGAGAAATGTGACGTCACATCAAAATGCGCAACTTTAAATAAATACTAGCTGTACTACCCGGCTTCGCCCGGGACTTGTATCTACCACGGCCGGCCGCCTTTGTCTCCCCAGTGGCGATGTTAATACGCTACAGCAGTTACTCGTTTGAGGCAGAGTCGACCTAGGGGAGGTTCAAATAATGGTCACCGGTGGTGGCCGTGAGCGGGAATCAAACTGGGTTTGCCGTGTTGGTAGCGCAGCGTAGCGTTAAGCACTACACCCACCGCTCCTCACACACCACACACGCACAGACACACACACAGACACACACACAGACACACGCAGACACACACAGACAGAAACACACACACACACAGACAGCACGCTAACCACTACACTACCGCTCCCCACACACCACACACGCACACACACAGACACACACACAGACACACACACAGACACACACACACAGACACACACACACAGACACAGGCAGCACGCTAAGCACTACACTACCGTTCCCCCTA